AGCTTGTACAACCAATAACCACCATGCATTTCATTGGCGTTGTCTTTGGGTCAGTTGTAACATTTGAATTATGTCCACATTCCGCAAAGCTGCAAACTGATGCGTTCAGATAATTTCTTCACTTCATTCCCTCTGACCCTCATTGATTCTGACTGGTAGATCTGGTTAATTCCCAACGTAAGGAAAATCAACAACCAAGCTGTCCCCTCTGCCGGCCCAAGTATTATTATTATCATTTTACTAGGTATTTGTACTTGAAACCCCCATCACATCCATCGTAGAAGTGTCAGTCAGACCTACACCCCTAGTTGCTTAAACCACATGTACTCCAGTCCTTATCCCCTTATCATCAGACCTAGATCACCAACCCCACTGTAAGGACTGAGAATGTCCTTCACTAGATGAGTAGTGAAACAGCGTGGGGAACGGGCAAGTGAGCCTAAACGTTTCTAAGACCAAACACGGGGAGCTTGCATTGCTGGCTGGCTCAGAGAGATGGAAGGGACAATCTCTGCAGAGCCAGGAAGGGAAAGTCAGCAGTGAAGACTAAGAGAGATACATGACATGTGTGAACACCCAAACAGAGGAGGGGGGTTTACACCCACCACCCCCACCAACCAAATCTATGAGCCTAGCTGCACTCATGGCTTGGATGATTCCTCCGCTTGAAACAACTCCTCCTCCCAGTTGAAGCCGTCCCAGTCACTTCATCTGCACGTCAAGAGGTTCCCGGCCCACCTCATGCTGCACCTGACGTCCACCAAGCTGGAGAATCATCAACATGTCACAGCCCCCCTGATGCTACTGCGCCAAGCATGAGGCCAGAAGCTAGTCATGGCTCCCTCACCGCTTCAAAACCAGCAAAAAAGTGTTATGTGAAGAGTAATATTGCTTATTTGCCACACCAGATCTTTCCATCTGAGATGACTTGCGGGACTCCATAGAGCCAGCAAACAATGACCTGTGGATATTGCCACACTAACCTGAGTTGAGCTATTGCAACACCTGTTTGAGAGAGTGATTGTAGGCTGAGCCCAGACGGTGGCACCTGCAATGTACTTCTTGCGATCCCGGTCATAGCTGATGTCTTCATCCGAGCCATACATCTGAGTCATAATTGACGGCATTGCCGTGTGGGACCACCATTGGGCTGTATCCTGCTGCTTGGGTGCTCTGGTAACAGACTCAATTGGGGTGTTGCAACTTTGGGAGGGAGAGGGTGGTGGGTCCTGGAACAGATTCAATGTTTGGAGCTGTATGGCCCAGCCAACAAACAGAGCCAAAGAGAAAGCATATCCGTGTATTTATGTATGTCTTCAGATTATCCTGGGGAGCAGATGATAGGTGCTCATATGTTCAACAGCCAAGAGGATCCCTCTTGGCAATTGAGATGTACACTCTCAACAGTATTTGGCGAAGGGCAGTGCACCTGGGACCTCCGGAGGGCAATGTCACATGTATCAGTGTCCTCTGTCAAAACCCACCAGTGGTCCCCTGGCTCAAGACAGACTTGCATTGGAAAGACCAGGGAAAAACTGGCATTGGAAAGACCAGGGAAAAACTGGCATTGGAAAGACCAGGGAAAAACTGGCATTGGAAAGACCAGCACTACCACACGTTTGACAGGACATTGCTGAAGAAGTAGTCCACAGTATCCAGTCTCTTCCTTTCACCAACTCATGCCTCATGTTTTTTTTCCCTTCTCTGTAACAGAATCAATGGTAGTTACCAATTTCAGCAAGGCTACACAAAACAAGTACCTATCTGGCTGTACAAGAAGCCAACCAAGATGCAAAGCTAAAAAAGCAGAAGTCTGACCAATCAAACAACAAGCCAGAAATGTCAAACACACCAACCAGACACACATCACCCCCCACATCAACCAGCACAGCCCAGACAAGCCCATTGTCAAGTTCAAGAACTCTTTTGTATGCTATGGAGACAGCTCTCAAACAAAAATCATTGCTGTTGTGAAGTTCCATGCATTTGAAAGTGTGGATCCCGCTCAAAAAGAAGATTACAAGCGACTTTCAATCAGCTTAATAGGCCATACCCAATTTCAAAACACCAATCAAAGCAATGGCAGCACACTCAGAGGGAAGATGTTCAGCTTGGGGTGGCGGAAGGGATATGGACATAAAAACAAATTAGGTGTTACAGCAATTGGATCCAAGGTAGTTAAAGACCAGTCAAGATTCTTGAAACTTCTCTGGGAGATTCCCTTCATCAATGACTTCCTTGCTTACCGGTTCAGAGACTTTTCTGAGAAGATGTATCATGAAGTGAAGGCTCACCACAACAAATCAAAGGCGCCATTGCTAGCCCTGTTCTTCTTTGCCAGCCCAAAGTCCTTCTGCTGTCACCTCTCTTTCGCATTTGATAGCTAGCTTCTACAATAAAAGCTCATAAGGATTGAGATGAATTGCCATACTCTTTTGTGATGTGGATTCCAGCAAACAAAGAAACACGTAAGAAGAAAATCTTCAAGTTGAAGGGGGGGGGAATTTGTTTTCCCTGCAGACATCTTGCTATTGATTTTTCTGGCTTCAAAGGTGTGGTCAAATGCGCTTGGAAAGCAACTGGACATCCGCACCATACTCTCAAGTCTTCAACACCTAATGGATCCCCCAACACATGTATTGGGATTTCTTGTCAACTCTGAAATTGGAAATGTTACAATCATCATCATTAATGAAAGAGATGTGCTTACCATTAGTAAAATTAGTACATAGATGGGGACAGCTTGAAAAAACCCCAAAGTGAAAACTAGAGGAAAATCAATCAACCAAATTTGTGTGAGATTGATTCTAAAAAAACCCCCACCAAAATCCTTAATGCTCTTGGGCCGCGGGGTGGACCTCCCTTATAAGTCCCTCCCTCCGGTCGGCGCAATACAACATGTGGTTGACTACTCCAGCCAGGAAGGGAAGGGAGTTAGTTAAGTTAGCAAATATCTAAGCACTAATCTGAAATTTTTCTGATATCAGTCCAAAAAAACCTGACAACCACATTCTTAAGTAGAAAAAAGTTCAATCTACTCTGTTATGATGATTCCTCTCTTTGACATATACATGCACTGTTGCCAGATTAAGTTTTACCGGAATATTTTTGATATCTTGTGAAAGTGTTGGGAGAGAATTGGCTGAGCTGGAGGGACATCAGTTTTACGGGTATGCACTCAACCAATTTAAACTTGGTTGAATTATCAATTATTTTGGCAGTGGAGGAGTACCTCCACAAGCTCTGTTCCATGTATGTATACTACAAAGTTTGTGACACATGGGTGAAATGATGGTAAAAGGTGAGAAGCTGTCAAAAGAATGAAACAAAAGACACTCAACACATAAAGCACCCTTAGAAGCAGAGACACAGAATAACTGGTCAGTAATCAAACTGTAGCACTTCTTTGTGTTTTACAACATCTTAGGGGAAACCAATGGGTAAAAAGGGGCTGATAGTATACAACAATTAAGTACAATAATCATAATCATGATTTATCACCAATCAAAAATTATTTTGAATCCCAACCCCCAATGTGCTGCTGCACTTCAAAACTCAAAATTCAAACCTCAAAGTCAATTTTTGAATTTTTTTACTGATTTGCTTTTATTAATTTACGCAAAGTGGTTGAATCTGTTCATGCTCCAAGTCAGTTTTATCTATAATGATTTGACAGTTGTGAAATTCACATGAATCTAAGCTCTAGAAGCCACAGTGAGAAGTGTAACAGGGGCAACCATTAATTGTCTGCTGCACATAATAGTGTCACAGGCACTCTTATTCAGGTGTAATACTTCCATAGGCACTATTATTCAGGAAGAATCACAGGCACTGTTATTCAGGAAGAATGGTGCCACAGGCACTGTTATTCAGGAAGAATGGTGCCACAGGCACTGTTATTCATGCGTCAGAGAAGTTCTTCTAGAACTTCTTAGTGCTTGAAACAAACAAAAAAGAATAATTTAACAGCTGGGCTTGAGCTTCCTCAACTTGATAGATGTTGGTGATCAGCAAAAGGGATTGGCTGGGCTCTGAAATGATAATCCAGCCCAATCTTCTCTGCATAGATGATCATCCCTCCAAGCCAATGCAGCAATGGATACACAGGTGTAAAAGATTTCCAAAAGTGTAAAACTTGGATCAAACATGATCAAACAAGGAGGAGTGTTTATGTGTTGTAAAGTTTCCAAGTTGGGCTGAATTGGATTTACCAAGGAAATGGAGGACTTCCCGTTGATATCTGTGGGTCTCCCAGCACATCATCCCTGACATGATTTCCCAGATGGGAAATCTTGTGAATTTTAGGGAAATCCTGTAAAAAAATCAAGATTTTTCCAGATTTTTTAGATTTTTCCAGATTTTTAGTTTTTTTGGATTTTTTGGATTTTTCTGGATTTTTAGATTTTTCCAACAGATTTTTTGGACTTGTTAATTTTTTTCAGCTTTATAGATGTCTCCAGATTTTCTAGATTTTTCAGATCTTTCTTTCAGATTTTTTTCAAGACTGTTCAGAGCCAAACCTGAAAATTTTGAACAGTTCTCAAAATACTAATAAAGTATGGAAAAAAGAATTGACAAAATGGTTGGTCCGTAAGACACCTTGCTGCTGGGTCCATTTGCTTCTGTACCACATCTCAAAACCACACTGGGCGGAGATCTTGTTGGGAGAGCCTCCTTTCTGGTAGGAATTTTTGGGGGTTTGGGAACTCTTGCAGCAGTGCAGGTGACTTTTTGGACGGCCTTCATCTGTGCAGTGCGGACCATGAAATATGGGCTGCTGCAAGATATTGAAGGGGCCGTAATGGCTGGTAATCCTATTTGAACATTTGACAAATTCATGGAGGGTGTGGTTAGTTGTTGTAGGATCACGTTATCGGTAAGAAAAGTCACACCTGGATTGCTGGCACTGGGTGGAACATGTGTTTGATTCAGAAAAGAAGTGGCCACAGGAGGCTGGGAATGACAGGGGTAAATGTGGGATGGGAATACAGCCCTCAAGCATGTTGTATTGCCTCTTGACGTTTAGATTGGATCAGTTTGTGTGCTGATGCTGGTTGAGAATTTGGTGTTGGGAAAACCATAGCCAAGGGGGTGGTTGTCTTGCTTGCAGCACAGTCAACACAGGCTTGGCAGCATCCTAACAAAACTAGTTTTCCCAGGTTACGCAAGGACAGCCACTGGGCAAGCAAAGAATCCTTGCTAGCCGGTCTTGGTCATGCCAATGGATCGACCTCAAAAGCGGAAGGTCTGCTTGTCAGAACAACGACAGCTTACCAAAATCCACCTCAGAATCAGCAATGGAAGGTGGGACATATGCTTATGATAAGTATCCTCGTAGCAGCAGAGTCGAAGCCTGTTGCCGAGTTGGGTCCAGCTTTGTGGGACCACATCACTTCCTCCCAAAAATCCTATAACTTTCACTTGGAACAGATCCAATTGATGATGAAAGCAGTCCATTGCATGCGAGCAAGACTTTTCAAATATACGTCCGCAGACACATCTAGTCTGGCCAATTTTTTGATAGGAGGATTCCGAGGGCTCCTCCTCGGCCCAAAAAAGGTCATATGCACACCAGTTGCGGCAGCTATTCAGATGCAGTTATTAGCATGGGCCGAACCAAACAAGGTTAGGCCATTTTTTGCGTTAAATAGACCCAATAATCACAGCTGATTAGGCCTGTCTGAACAGACTTTGATGGCTTCTGGCCTCATACATCTTGGTACCTATTGGATCTCCTGCTGAGGACGCTCGAGAAGGAAAAACCGGCAGAAATCGACCAAATTGTCCTCACCAAGCATGTCACCCTTGACTTTCTCAAACATTGGGAGAGTGCAAATGAGAACAAAATCCCCTGGATTAAAGTTTTGTCCTGCAAGGGTTTACGTGCCCCAACTGTTGCTTTGAATTTTGTATGAATTGCTTGTATTCAGAACTCCTACAAACTCTCACTCTCTTCCAAGCCTTCGCACAAAATTATACAAAGTACCCAAAGGATTGGTTCCCCTTCTCCTGTCCCTCTGCACAAGCAAACCGAGGCCTAGACCGCAAGGGCCTGGCCAAATGAATACAAGCCCCCAAGCCGTTTGCCAAGCCTTTGCACATGTAAACCAAGGCCTAGACCACTTGGGCCTGGCCAAGGCAACACAGGCACTCCGCCTTTGCCACGCCTTCATATATGCAGACAAAGGCCAAGACCACTTGGGACTGACCAAATGACTGCACATACTTAGCTAGCTGGACACTGGACTGCCCGAGTCCCCCACATTCAGCCTCCGTCATGCTTTTGCACATGCAAACCAGGGCCAAGACCGCTTGGGACTGATTGAGCGATTGCACGCGCTACAAGCTAGTTGGAGACATCAGGTGTAGGGGGTTTTGGGAGAACAGTCCTGCTTTGGAAGCAGGCGGCTTGGCTAAGGTGGAGCGCGGGACTGCTGTGCTGCGGAAAATGCAAAAGTGAGATCACCAGCTTAGGGCTGAGGGGACATCCTGCTGTAATTGGTCCTATTCAATGACACAATCCGCCAAAAAAAATCAGTACAAAAAGAAACAAACTGAACATTAGGGTTTTCGACTGACATCTGTTGAGGTGGATCTTTGCATCAATTGCAAGAAACAGTCTGATTCCTCAAACCAGGCTTGCCAAACAGAAGGGTTTGCGCACTTGATGATACATTCGACTGCAAGATTATTTTAGTAGGGGCCAAGCCCATGGGCATACCCATCAACTGGGCAAAAGATTTTGACAGCAAACACCGGACGGTGTTTAAGACCAATTGACAATCCAACAGAAGATATGACTACAAAATCTTGAGTAGAATCACTAACGAGTCGCTCGCATCTCCGATTAAGGTGGCCAGAGCAAAGAGTAGTTTGGTCAGGCTGGGTGTCAGCGTCTCTGCCAGTCTTGCTATTCGCACGATTTAAGCAGAGCAGTTGAAGAAACAAGCAGTGCGACTTTTCACCCATGTCATACAAACACCCTATGTGAACTGGGCTAAATTAAATGTTTGATTCAATTTTGAGAAACAAAAAATGAAAAGCTCAGCTTTGATGATTAATTGAAACTTTGGGTAAAACAATTATATGCATTTCTGGATACCATAACTGCCCACTCTTTCACTCCCCATTCTGTTCATTTTTTTGAACAAAATCTGTTACACTGGTCCAAGTGGAAACAGGATACTGAAGAAAATAAATATTAATATCAATTTCAGCTTCAAAGAGCACAAGTTATATGTTTTTCATAGCTTACCTATTTTTTCATGCTTTGTCTTGTTTTTTGTCCTTACCTTTTTCTTGGTAGGGGAAGCTCTCGATGATAGTGCTGACTATTGATTTATTGATACCTGCTGTAATAATTTTTTTTTGGCTTGAGGACTATTGGACCATGATGATAACCCAAGAATATCTGATGGGTTATTTCTTAACAGGGAGATATTAGTTATCCCACTTCTGCAGGGCTGAGAATTGTAATAAATTTGAGTGAATTTTTATGCAGATCTTATGGATTCATCAGTTAAGGAGACTTGTTTTCTCCCTGATCTTATTATTATGACTCAAAAGAGCAGAAGATAAGATTTCAATTATTTTTGAAGGAAGAAAGTTTCAAAGAAAACCATTGTGATAAGTGATATTGAGGTGGTATTTTCTAGGGTTTCCATGTGTGATAAAATAGTCAGAAGAAATTTGGAGGGCAGAATCTTTTATCCTCATATAAAAATCAAGACACAGGACAAGAGGTATGTGAATAAAATAAGCAACAACAGAGACCAAATAAGAGAAAGGGCATCACCCCCGGGAATTGAAGGAGTATTTCTCCAAATGAAACCACAGAACTGCCAAGCCCAAAGAAGATTCAACACCCTTTTCATATCTTGCTTGTTCTCCAAGACCCTCAAGAAACTGATCATCATAGAAATCTACAGGTAGGCCCTGTGGACATTTTGTGTTTTTGTCGGGTTGGATGTTCTGCATGGAGTGCTGACAACGGGTTTCCAAGAGTTGGCCCAGACCAAATGCTCTTTGGTTATCTTCCACTTTTCTCCAAATTGAAATCTGGTCCACCTTGTTTGCCAGCAAAGAGGCCAGCTCAGAGCGCCATTTCAGTTTAACCTAATGAAGCAGAGTCCCATCCTCCAGGCTCTCAGTGTTGGAATTGCAAAGAAGATCTTCAAAAAATCCCCAAAACTTCTTGGGAACTTTCATCAACTCAAGTGTATCACTTCAATGCTTGCCAAGCTGTATAAAGATTTACAGAAAATCAGTAAGACTTGCTTGTTGTTTTTACCTTGTCAAATAAGAGTGTTGATGACATACTGTTTTGCGCCGGTGGCTACTCTGGACAAGCCTCTTCTGCATCTCAGCAGAGCCTGGTTTCTGCTCTTCTTTTTGTATGGAATCACACCTTCCACTGAAACATCAAGTGATGAGAACAAGAATAGTGGAAGAGCTGCAGCAGCTTTGGGTTCCATCAAGTAGCAAAGAAAACTTCCAGCTAAACGGTGTGGTAAGCCACTCTTGAATAAGAGGCCCATAAAATCAAATCTTCAAGCACAATATCAAGCCCTCTGAATGAAAAGACCCTCTAGGATCAAGACAAGCCCCTTCTGGAGTATTTAGACAAACTGCAACACCATGGGTGTCACAAGACCAAGCCCCCTGGACAGAAACACACTGGATTCCCTTTCACCTTTCTTTGTCACATAATCCTCTCATGCAGTCTTACATCAACAATCCCCATTCAGCTTTCCACAATTGGACTCTGAATGTGTTTCACTCTAATCCATTTTTACTCTAGTCTCATTTCTACTTTGGGCCACATTATAAGATCTATGGTTTCACACTACCATGGCAAAGTCAAGAGTTCATATCTGATGAAACAAGGATAAGGAAATCTAGTCTCTGTCAGATGCTCAAGGAAAGCTAGTCGGTTTGATTCATGAAGAACCTTTTTTTCCCTGAAGCAGGAGGTTTGTGTTGGCAGATATTTTGTTCTCTAAAATGGCAAAGATTTTGCCTCCCTCCCATTTATCTCCACCCCAGCTATGATGGAACTGAGCTAACTGTTCTGAATTTGGGGGGATGGCCATGGATTGGAAGGTTGTTCCATGCCAAGGAGAAGACACATGAACTCCTATATAGTGCCTGGCACAGTGGAGAATTGAATCTAACTGTTTATTTTGGTTACAAGTAGAGGAGGCCTGTGAGCCTGGGTCTCAATAGTGACAACAGGACACAAGAATTTGGGGGGCACTTTTAAATGTATTTCTTAAGAAAAGAGGGATACAATTAAAAGTAGAGAAAAGAGGAAAAGAAGACTGAGGGAAAGAGATAATATTTTGTTCTTTATTTATTTTAAGATGATGAATTAAGTTGAGCATTCTTACTCTCCTTTAAGGATGGCTGGTTATAAGCGGAGCTAACTCTACGCCTCCAAATCAAAAGAAACTGAAATGGGTTATTAACACTGATAAATCAGGTCAACCACAATTTTTTAGATCAGTGATGATCAAGGTTCTTTAAAGGGAAACCTAGGTAGTTTTCTAGTTATACTACCAAACAGGAGAAATAGAATTTATAGCAGCTATGGCTTGCTTGCTGGGATCAGGGCTTTGGTTATGAGAAGAAGAGAAGAGTGGTGAGGGAAACAGAGAAGTGAAACAAGCAGGAAGATGCTAGCTAAGACTTATGAGGAGTGACTTACTAATGACACCAATGACACGTGGTAGTGGGAAAGGTGGGAAAAGTAGGGTACTTCTGTTGGATAAGTGATGGCTTGATCTTGTTCTGGTTGTTGGTGTTCTGAGTTGGTCTGGAGTCTGAAAATCCTCTGGAAGCGGAATCAACAAGCTCAGAGAGGATTTTCACAGTTGGATTATGTAATCTGGTATGTACATGTGGTAGAGGGAGCGGAAACCTAAAGGTTGAAATAACTCTTGGAGTACTGTGAATTATTACAAAGTCAATGAAGGAATGGAGTTGGATAAAAGTGATCAGTGGTGACTAGGGTTAATTTTACACCAGGAATCCATTTCTGAAGTCAGAAAGGTTGAAAGTCTTAAGATAAAAAAGATAAGATAATATTTTGAGTAGAAATGGGCAGTTTTGGCAGTCTTTTGGCCAGCTTGGTTGGCTCTAAGGCTGACAAGGCCAGTGTGCCATCAAGTTGGTAGGTTGAGGTTTTTGGAATCTTGTAAAAAAAGGTATTTATGTACTGCAAACAGAAGGCTTTTTGGGCTGATACACACTTTAACTTCTTCTTCACTCTTATATCCACTAGTCCCCAGCTGAGAATTGCCAAACAGGACAAAGGCACAAGCTGTTGAATTGGCTGTTAAACTGGTCAATAGGCCCTTTCTCATTTACTGAGTATATTCTTTTGCCTCCTTCCAGAGCCCACCGGGCTTCTAGGCTCTTTGTTGCACATCAGTCAGGTCGGTGCCAATATCACACATTACCCTGGCCCGCCAGCCCTCCCAGTCATATCACCCCTCATCATCTGCTGGGCTGGCTGTCTGTACAGTGTGCTTTGTAACCAACTCAATAAGATTATGATTATGATTACAATATTTACATATGAGACGTGGTCATGGGCCGGGGCTTGAAGTGAATTGCAACTAGTGCGGTTGGTGTTGGGCAGGTGTGTGGGTTAGAGATCTGACGGCCAAGATCAAGTGAGAATCTCCTACTCCTCTTAAAAAACTCACCAAAAAGGACTTCCAATTGGCTGGAAATAGTTC